CACGCTCCATAGGATGGCTGTGGTGTCAGAGGCTGGGGCTGGCAGACTGGGGGCTGTGCCACACCCCCTGCACTCCCAGCTCTGCAGCCACTCTGGCCACCCAGTGCTGGGGCTCGTGGCTTAGCCATTGGAGTGGGACTTCTGGTTAAGGGTCTGCTCTGGGGCCATGTTGCCCGCTAGAGCTCTGGAGCCAGGGCAGGGGGCAGTCACATCGCTCACCAGCTTTCCAGCACTGCAAGGAGGCTGGGGCCATGTCACCCCCGAATGATCCAGGGCCAGGACAGGTTGTAGCCATGCTGCCTGCTGGCTCTCCAGGCAGGGCCATGGGGGGTGCTACCTTGGGTCAGGGAATCAGGGCTAGCAACCTCACTGGAAGGGAGGAAGGTGGTGGGCAGGGGCCAGCAGTGGCCAGAATGGGGGCAGTTGGGCTCTGGGGAACATAGGAGTGGGGCCTTTGCAAGATAGGATGAGGCTGGGGGGCTCTGCCATCTGAAACTCCATCACATTGCTCTCCAAAGTTCACATTAGCACTGAAGGAGTCCATTACATCCTTGCCTTAGCCTTGCTGCACCGCCAACCAGAAGCCAGAGCCCACACCCTGAACCTCTTTCAGATCTAAACCTCTGGCCCCACCCCCACCTGCCTTGAGCCCCCTCCTGCACCACACACTCCCTCCCACCCCCTCACCCACTACCCAGCCCTGTACTCATGAGCTGTCGTACAATTTCCATGGCCAAAACGTTTGCCACCCTGCTCTTGGAGCACAGCTCCTTTCAGAGCCACAGTCCAAGTGGAACAGGATCACACACTCCGGAATCAAGTTTGCAAGTCTCATCTTCTGGAAGTATGGAGCAGGCAGCATCCAGCAGCAGCCCTTCTTCCCTAAATGCCCCATCTGGATATTATGCAAAGAAGCCTCCAAGCTGAGTGGCAGCAAAGGAAGAATGTTGTGTAATGTGATTTTCTTCCTTCTGCAAACGTTGGGGATTTTCTGCTCCGTTTTGCTCCAGTTCACACCAAACAAACTGCTTAAAAAGCATTTGAAATTGCCAGCAAACTCCCTCCCCCTACTCCACAAAGGACAACTGTCACCCCAAATGTTACCCCTAAAGCCTGCATCCATTGTCTAGGGAATGTATTGGATCAACTGAATCAATGTGAATTCTGACTGCTTCTCTTGCTGCCTGCTTTGAAACTGGTTCAGCTGAAGTGAGACAAAAAGAGAGAAAAAAACAGGAACTTACTGAAAACAACTTGGTCCAAAAATAGTGGCCAGATTGGAAATGTTCATTCTGTTCTCCACGTGGTGCTCAGCAACTTGGGTCAAGAACCAGCACAGGTACTTCAGCAGGGAGTAGTTGGCATCAGGCAGCTCTTGTATAAGTTCTTTCAAGCTGTTCTCTTTCTCAGCATCATTTCTAGTGTCTGGGAAGAAGAGGAGGAGGGAGAACATGGTTTCTGAGCATGATCCTCCATCATCTCCAATTTATTCATGGACATTAACTATAGCAATTAAATAGATGGGATAAGCTTCTGCTATGAGGGTGGCCTACACGCAGTCTTGCCCTGAAATAACTAAATCAGAAACTGACACAAGCCTGTGAGTAGACCAGCCCTTATTTATACTGATTAAATCCAGATTAGTTCAATTAAACTCAGCACAGTTATACATGTGTGACAAACCTTGGCCCACAACTCCACCCTGAAAATATACTATTCAAACAGCCTGCCTTTTTTTATTCCGCCACTCCAAAAAGTGCACCCACTCATTCATATATGGTATCTTCTTCTTCATCTTATTTGACTGAAATGTCTCTGGGCAGGACACTTGCCTGTTCCTTTAAAGCACTAAGTGAATTCTGTGCACTACAATAAATGACCATGGCTTGAAACACTTGCCTGAAACCTCTTAGCCTAAGCAGGACCAGATTTACACCTTATGCCCCACTAGGCACAGCATCTTCAGGACAACCATCCTCTCCTACCTACAGCTGACCTTCAAGTTTCCTGTAAAAAATGAAACTTTTAACTCACTTTTGTCATTTACGTACCCACAGAATGCTGGAGCCACTAGGCACGTGCCTTCTGTGCCTAATGGGAAATCCAGCCCTGACTCTACGGACAAACCAAGATGAAACTAGCTGTGTAACACAACTCCTAGAGCCACCGTCACTACAGTTTAGTCTGTGTTGGTTATTCAGTACTGTGTTTATTTGTATGTCAATACTTCAGTGCCCTTCTTCTTGGCTTCACGACACTTTTTCTTTCCCACATATTACCACATCTATTCTTAAGGGCTTTTCTCCTTTCCAATACCTCTGCATTTATCTTCTTCCCTTTCTTCTTCCACTAAGTCCCAAAATATCTCAGTATGTACCATACTTCTCAAAGGGTACGTCTACACTACAACGTTAATTCGAACTTAGTTCGAATTAGTTAATTCGAACTAAGCTAATTTGAACTAACGCGTCTAGAACTAAAAACTAGTTCGAATTAGCGTTTTGCTAATTTGAACTAGCATGTCCACATTAAGTGGACCCTGAACCGGGCTTAAGGATGGCCGGAAGCAGTGCCGGCAGGGCATCACAGGAGGACTTAGAGTGTGGAGATGCTGTCTCAGGCTAGCCGAGGGCTGCGCTTAAAGGGACCCGACCCCCACCTGGACAGACAGTTCTCAGGAGTGCCCCGCTTGCAAACCAGTCCTGGCTTGGAGTGCCCGGAGTGTCCGCACTGGGCACATCACAGCACTCGGCCATCAGCCCGGCTGCACTTGCCGCAGGCTGCCATCTGGGGAGAGGGGACAATTGGGGGGCTGCAGGAGAGCTTCCACCCCCAGAAGCCCGCAGAGCCAGCCCAGTCCTCCCCATCGGGGGCTCGTACCCCATTCCTCCCTCACCTCCTTCCACTTACCCTTCCCTAGCCCCTTTTCTTGATGTACAAAATAAAGGACAATTGTGTTCAAAAATGGAATCTGTCTTTATTGAACAAAACTAGGGGAAAATGGGAAAAGGAGGTGGGAGAGGGGAAGAGAGAGGGTGGGAGAGGGGAGGGCAACTAAAATGATCAGGGGTTGGGAACAGGTCCCATATGAAGAGAGGCTAAAGAGACTGGGACTTTTCAGCTTAGAAAAGAGGAGATGGAGGGGGGCAGGATAGAGGTCTCTAAAAGCAGGGGTTGGGTGGAGAGGGTGCATACAGAAAAGTTCTTCATTAGTTCCCATAAAGAAGGACTAGAGGACACCAAAGGAAAGGAATGGGTAGCAGGCTTCAAACTAGTAACAGAAAGTTGTTCTTCACAAAGCAAAGAGTCAACCTGTGGAACTCCTTGCTGCAGGAGGCTGTGAAGGCTAGAACTAGAACAGAGTTTAAAGGGAAGTGAGATCAAGTCATAGAGGTTGGGTCCATGGAGTGGTATTAGCCAGGGGGTAGGAGTGGTGTCCCTGCCCAAAGTTTGTGCAAGGCTGGAGAGGGATGGCACGAGACAAATGGCTTGGTCACTGTCTTCGGTCCATCCCCTCCAGGATCCCTAGGGTTGGCCGCTGTC